TTGACCGCATCGACAATGGCATCTCGGCCCGTGGCTTGCAAGTAAAGGATATGGTTCTCTGTAAAAGGGAAAATCGACGTCGTAGCCCCTACTTCCGCCCCCATGTTGCAAATCGTGGCCATGCCTGTGCAACTCAGAGAGTCAACTCCTGGCCCGAAATACTCAATGATGGATCCAGTTCCACCACGAACGGTTAGTCTGCCTGCCAGATGAAGAATAACATCTTTCGGTGAGGTCCACCCGCTGAGCTTGCCTTCTAGACGAACTCCCAGAATCTTTGGAGCCTTAAGCTCCCAAGGGGCATCAACCAGAGCATCAACTGCGTCAGCTCCGCCCACACCTATTGCGATAGCGCCTAGGCCTCCGGCATTTGGTGTGTGGCTGTCCGTTCCCAACATCATCAAGCCAGGAGCAGCGTAGTTTTCCAGCACCGACTGATGTATAATACCTGCCCCGGGTGGCCAGAACTCGATCCCGTATCTCTTTGCAGCAGATTCCAAAAAGTCAAACACCTCCTTGTTGCCCGCGATGGAGTTGGGTAGATCCAAGTCTGCGCCTTTCTCTCCCACAATCATATGGTCACAATGGATGCTGGCAGGTACGGCGGTACTGGGCAGGTTGCATGTCATGAATTGGAGGATGGCCATCTGTGCAGAGGCATCCTGCATTGCGACACGGTCGGGCTTGAGCTTGAGGTTGGCTCTGCCCCGAATGTTCTTGCCATTGTCGGTACCGGTCAACAGAGACTCGGAGGGGTTGGCGAGGTGAGAATAGAGGATTTTCTCAGCGAGTGTGAGCTTCTGGCGGGGTAGAATATCTCTGACATCTTCAAAGGTCTTCAGAATTTTCTGGTAAGGGGGCACGGCAGCTCGCCGCCGTAATGGTGACTGCGAGTGCTGCAGGGTTGCATAGCCGCGGTGATATGACTGCCGTGCTCTAGAGCAAGAGCCCAAGTCCAGGGGACATCTGACCCGTGCAGATGGCACTCGTTGCAACAGGCCAGGCATCGCGAGTGAGTGCTGTCTGGGGAATATAGACAGCAAAAAGGCATGTCCCCGAGCTCGGAGGGGGAAATAGTGAGAGCAAAAAATCCTATTGCCGGTCCGAAGTTGTGCCGAGGGCTTGGCATCCGGTAACCACAAACAGCTCTGGCTCTATTGGTCGCCTTTGAACTCCTCCTTCCCAATCTGGACTCAGGAGCAGTGAGACCTATTACCGTAGTACAAGTTTCGAGTACAAATATTACGTTCGCTCTCGGGATGGTAGACAGTCAGCGGCATTATCAGTGGAGACTTTGTGGAGCACAGCGCGCGTCTGTCTGAAGCGGACAAAATACACGTCTACTCGTAGTCCCTGGAGCATCAACAGGAGCCTCTCAATATCCGAACTATTAAGCAGGGATACGTTCACCGGACCAGTGCCCCATTCTAATGGCCGACCAGGGTACGAGCAATTTGAGATGGCGAAAAGGTCCGAGTTACCAGCTGGTAGCCCTTGTTTTGGTCACCTGACGATACATTTATGCAACATTGGCGTCTGCATTACAGAGGATGGACGTACAAGTATAGAAAAATCGAAGGCTATGCTCGACATGGCCAAGTTAAAGTGGGTAGAGAATGGCAGGATAGTAGCGGCGAGATAAAGCTGTAAAGGTGACGAGGCTGCGTGAAAGGGAGGGTGGGTTATCTGGAAACTACAGGTAGCAGAAACAGCCGCGGCACTCGAGTGTACTGGTAACGAGTCTCTATAGTGACGGAAGAGTGGTTGGAAAGAAAATTTGTAGGATTGCTTAGCGATACGACCGAGGATATAGCACTTGTTCTCGTATAGGTACACAGCAGGTACAAGGAAATTGCTAGTGGATCTCCTTGAACTCCAAGTGTCTATGGCTTTACGATGTGTCGAGGTCTCGGCGCATGGATGACGAGTTTGCGTCAAGCTTTGTTCGAGTTGACTATGGTTGTATTTTGTAAAAGTCGTCCCTAGCTTATCTTCCATTTTACGAGACTGTAGAATGGTAAAGCAAGGGAAATGCTGCCTTTAGTTGGCAAGTTGTCTGGAGAGGTCGGAAGTTCTGAGCGGCAACTGTCTCTAGTCCCTCTCCGTACTGGGTGGAAATTGGATGCCCATTTGAAGAGCAACCGAAGTCGAGTTGGCGCAGAAATACTTGGAAAAGCTACCTGGAATATAAAGGGATGACTTCGTCACATCTGAGGCAAGAGAGAATGAAAGGTGGCATAGAAAGGATAATCAAAGACCGTTCCAGAGACAGGCATACAGAAATAAGCCGTGCGTGGAATGCTTGAACCCGATTGTCTTTCAGGTAATTTGGAGAAATGATAGTAGCCATGGCCAGGGGTTGTGTGGAAATGTAGCCAATTCTCTCTTCCTCGGCACACACGAGAGTAGACTTGTAGAGAGGATATTGAAAGTGTAATTTCTTTCCTCCGAAAGTGGTCAAAGAAGATGAAACGCTGTAGGCACCACTCGGTCTGTTTCTTTGCGGCTATAGCATTTCTTGAAGTGCTTGGAAATCGAAACGTCGATGGTAAAGTAGTGTATTTGATTACAGAAATCGTATTCTTCGAGACCAGAAGTCCAAGGTCATTTCCAGCATAATAGATTTCGTGTCTGCGTACTTCAGGGTGGTGACACTGCCAAAAATAAGGAGAAGAGGGTTTTGTCGGGCGTGGCTTTTGTCTTTGTTGGACAGGCCTGGGAGGCGCGGGTCGCAGGTTAAAGAACCCACTCGCTCCCGGGTGTTGTAAAACATTTGTGGTTGACCAGTCCAGATTGCGTTGGAGCAACTCTTTGACCTTTACCTTTGCTTTTGCCAAAGGAGTGATAAGGGAACACAAGGTATCGTAGTAGCACACACGAATACTTTACAGATACCAAAGTTCAACATGATGTTCCTTTGATTAGACCCTGGCTTGCCGATCTTGCCTCTCCTATCCAGCTATAAACAGCATAATTCGTTGAAGTTCGTGATTTAGTCAAGGTACATTGCACATATAAGGTGGAAAGGAATGTATCATGCATGCTTCATAGACTGACTGTTTCACGACCGGAATCGCGACGCTCGCCTCCCTTCCAACACACGTGACCTCGCGCCGCTTTTACTCAGGCTAGCTCGCGTCCGGCTCAGGCTTGGCTGGGCTAGCTCACCTTACTAACTACGTCGGGCGGTGGCCTAAAGGTCGTCCCTCCTCTAGACCGTTAAGTTTTAACGAGGGCCCTAAAACGAGGTCCCTAGGGGGAGGGGTTCCCTAGAGACGCACTACGGCACGTTACCTCCTCGACCCTACGAGAACGAGTCGGTCTTCATAAGCGTGATGGGCCTAGTACGACGTACGCTTGTCCCTAGCGCGAGGGAGGGTTCCTAGATATAGTCCCCCTAACCCTTCTAATGTCCCGTTAAGTTTCTATCTGTCACGAACACCCACGTGACATTAGACACTCGGCTCAGGCCACTAACTAAGGAGTTAGGCCGCCAGCTAAGTAGCTGGCTTACCGCATGTATATAGTAAGAGGGGTCGTACCTATTAACCTTAAAGCCTCTTTAAGCGTTAACATCTCTATCTATAGGCTAGTTATCTATCATTATCGATCCCATAGTATATACATTCACCCTCTAGTTAGCTAACTAGTCTAATAATTTATTAACGCTTCCCTGTTACGAGATGCTTTACACGTGAGGTGCCACAGCAAACCCGAAGTGGTTTACTTGGTGATATAGTAGTGGAACGATGTGGCAGAGACGAAACCAAGAGTATAGTACGCGGGACTATACGTGAAGCATTTAACCGAGAGGAACTCGATTATTTGTGAACGAGGTTGACTACGCTTCCTGTAGAAGCGGATCTAGCTGGCTATATACTCCAGGTAAGTTTCCTATCTAGGCAGGTCTGGGCATTACAGTGTTGCAGCTGTTGCATCCCCTTGGCGTGCAACGATGCTTCTCTTGCAACAATGTATTTCCCTTTTTGGTCATCATGTGACCGGGGTCAGCCTTGCCAGCGAGGCTGCCCTTTTCCCGCTTGACTTTCCCTGTCCCACGCCATCGAGTGGCCGCATGTAGGTCGGTTCGTAACAACATCCCTGCGCAATGGAATGCCCTAAGTGCGGACCCACTTTTATTTCACATGCCTGCCCGTCCACCGCACCGGCGAAGGTCGCTTATGGGAGGGTGGTAAACTGATGGCATAAGCACTGAATTATCCATAGACTAGATGTTCATATAAAATTACTAAATCTAGTGGCCTATAACACGCAGAAAATGCACGTGAGCCTTTTACAGTCCACCGTGACGGCGCCTCGGCGAGAGTGATATTGAGAAATCTCCCTTTAAATAATTGCGCCGGCGGCTACTATGCCTCCTCTCTCGCACCTTGTACACATCCGAGAGAGCCTCCCTTCGTCGTTCGTGCACACGGCACGACGCGCCCTGTCTCATATAGATGGTTATGGGTAAAAGTGGACCCGCGGCTAAGATCCGCGTACAAAGGCAGTAGCTTAGCACGAACCGCGGGACGGGATTATTACGGTACCGCAACATGCGAGACAGTGTCCGGATGGTGGCATATACTGCGATTTCTACTCTTGTTATCTGTCATTTGAAAGTGTCTCACTGCTTCCCCGTAGTCGTTTAATTCTAATCCTGATCCATCTCTGCACGCCCGCGACGCCACTACTGCCATCATGGCTGAGGCGGTGCAGCGCCACCCACCTAGTCCCCGTGATGCCACCTACCATTCGCCCTGTACGCGCCCGCTGCCTCACCTGGACCAGATGCGCTGTCGCGAGATACCCATTCAGCCTGATCGAGCACCCTTCACGATGCTGTGCGCAGACACCTCCAAGGGTAGGCATCAGCCTCAGATGCGCTCTCTATCTCTCTATCTATCTTCTTTCCTCTGCCTTTCCTCTGTCTTTCCTCTGTATTTCATCTATCTTTCAATCAGACTCCCCTCCCCTATCTCTAAGCGTCGACCGACCTCATGCAGCAACCAGTCTCCGCCAAACGAGCGACGGGGGGCCCGCCCAACCCCGTCGACCACACCGGGCTCTGCCTGCTGTCGCTCGACGGCGGGGGCGTGCGTGGCCTATCGACCCTCCATATCCTCAAGAGCCTCATGACCCAGGTGAATTACGAACGCCAGAAGAGCGGAGCTCCGGCGCTCAAGCCATGCGAATTGTTCGATCTCATCGGCGGGACCAGCACCGGCGGGTACGTGGCACACCCTCCCTCGCTTATTATGGCTCTCATGCTAACACTAAATTCGACAGCTTGATCGCCATCATGCTCGGCCGGCTCGAGATGGACGTGGACGAGTGCATTGTAGCCTACAATAAACTGACTAAGGCTATATTTGAAGAGAAGGCGCACTGGACACCGTTCAACTGGTCAGGACGAGTTCAATCACGATTCGACAGTAACAAACTCAAGGCCGTCATCGACGACGTCATCACCCGTCAAGGTTACTCTCCGACGGAACCGTTCAACGACGGGAAACCGCGCGGATGTAAGGTGTACGTATAAAGGCATAAGAAGACTGATTATGCTACATACTCAACGATTATCTAGGTTCGTCTGTACGGCGGCGAAGGACCCATACGGAATCACACGCCTCCGAAGCTATGACCTGCCCCAGAAACCGAACGTGTCGGCGACCATCTGTGAAGCCGCCCTAGCCACATCGGCCGCCACCGGCTTCTTCGATCCGGTGTCGATTGGAGCGCGACAGTTTATGGATGGTGCGTTGGGGGTGAACAACCCGGTGGAAGAGGTGAAAGGAGAAGCGGCCGACATTTGGTGTGCTGAATCCGGCGACGTCAAACCGCTGGTGAAGTGCTTTATCTCGATCGGGACGGGGAATCCCGGTAAGAAGGCGGTTAAAGATAATTTACTGAAGTTCTTGTCGAAGACGCTGGTCCAGATCACAACGGAGACCGAACAGACAGCTAAGCGATTTTCGTCGGACTGGCGGAAGCACTTAGACCAGAACCGATATTTCCGTCTCAATGTCGAGCAGGGACTCCAGGACGTCGGCTTGGCGGAGTATAAAGAGCAAGGTCGCATCGAGGAGGCGACGCATCAATACCTGGACGACCAACATCAGATCTCCCGCGTGCGGCACTGTGTAGCGAATTTAAAGCAGAAGCAGAGTGTGTACCTAGAAGATTTCGCATAGCTAGCGGCCGTTCTACCACTAACGCTTCGTGGTAGGAAAGACGGAGAATTCACTAGCTGGTGAAGTCGAGGTGAGACAAATCTTGTTATTGGGGAGGAAATGCTAAGTTTACCTAGAAATATATCATTCAGCGTATTCGCAATCAGTCAAGTATAAAGGCCTATCTTACGCGGAATTGACTCACGCTCACACTTCGATCTAGGTCGTGCGGTCCTTCCCTGCTATCATATTCCCCTTCCACGGAATAAGCGCTTTGTCGGCCGGGAGGAGGTAATCCGCGCGCTACGGCAACAGCTATTCACCTCCGACGCCGGCAACAAAGTCTCTCTTGTGGGATTGGGTGGTGTGGGAAAAACCCAGGTGGCATTCCAAATCGCCTACTGGACGAAAGAGCACAAGCCGGACCATTCCGTGTTCTGGGTGTCGGCCTTGAGCGGCGCGAGCTTTGAACAAGCCTATACCGAGATATCGAAGAAGCTGACGGTGCGAAAGAGCTCGGAAGACGAGGATGTCCGGGAATCTGTCCGACGATGGCTCGAGTCCGACGAAAGTGGAAAGTGGCTACTCGTGGTAGACAATGCGGATGCCATGGACGTCTTGTTTGGCTCTCCCGAGAACCCGGACGGGATCTTTCAGTACCTGCCAGAGAGCGACCATGGCCGGATCCTATTTACGACGCGGTCCCGGGAGGTGGCCAACGCCGTGGAAGGCGAGATGGTTGAATTAGCCCAGATGAGCGCCGAAGAGGCGAAGAGCCTACTAGAGAAGTCGTTAGAGAAGTCGTTAGTGCGGGAGGACCTTCTCAGGAACGACAAGGGAGTGGCGGAATTACTGCAGGAGCTAACCTACCTCCCACTAGCGATTACACAGGCAGCGGCATACCTGAGCAGGAACCGAGTGACGATCACGAAATATATGGAACTGCTCCGGGGAACGGAGCAGGACATGGTTGGACTGATGAGTCGAGAGTTCCACGATTCCACCCGGCCTAGAGGGTCACGACACGCCGTGGCCACCACGTGGCTAGTATCATTCCACCAGATCCGACAGTCCGACCCTGCGGCCGCCGATCTGTTAATGTTCCTCTCGTGCATCGACCCGAAGGCCGTTCCACAGTCCATTCTGCCTCTCTTTCCGACCGAAGAGGCCATGGTATTTGCCCTCGGAACGTTGGATGCATACGCATTCGTGGTGCGGCGGGGAAACTCAGACACGTTCGACATACATAGCCTCGTGCACTTGGCTACGCGGATTTGGGTTCGAGGAGAGGGGGTCGCGGCGCGAGTGGAGGAGAATGCCGTCCAGCATGTGACGAGTGTGTTCCCATCGAGTGACTATAGCCAGCGAGATCTATGGCGGGCGTACCTACCGCATGCACTGCGTCTTCTCCAGCGAGACGATACGGCCGACTTAGTGGAGAGATATAATCTTTACTCAAAGGCGGGACTGTGTTTACAAGTTGATGGTCGGATTAAGGAAGCGGTCAGATGTTTCCAAGAGTGCTATGATTGGCGGAGGGAGCATCTTGATGAGGATCATCGTGATCGACTGGCATCGCAGCACGCGCTGGCTATCGCATATCGGGCGGATGGACAGGTGAAAGAGGCAGTGACGCTACTGGAAGAGGTGGTGCGGATCAAAGGGCAGACACTGGCGAAGGATCATCGTGATCGACTGGCATCGCAGCACGAGTTAGCAGGAGCATATCGGGCGAATGGACAGGTAAAAGAGGCAGTAATGCTACTGGAGGAGGTGATGCGGATTCGCGAGCAGACACTAGCGGAGGATCATCGTGATCGACTGGCATCGCAGCACGCGCTGGCTATCGCATATGAGGCGAATGGACAGGTGAAAGAGGCAGTGACGCTGCTGGAGGAGGTGGTGCGGATTGAAAGGCAGACACTGGCGGAGGATCATCCCTCTCGACTGGCATCGCAGCACGCGTTGGCTATCGCATATAAGGCGAATGGACAGGTGAAAGAGGCAGTGACGCTGCTGGAGGAGGTAGTGCGGATTGAAGGGCAGACACTGGCGGAGGATCATCCCTCTCGACTGGCATCACAGCACGCGTTAGCTATCGCATATGAGGCGAATGGACAGGTGAAAGAGGCAGTGACGCTGCTAGAGGAGGTAGTGCGGATTCACAGGCAGACGCTGGCGGAGGATCATCCCTCTCGACTGGCATCACAGCACGTGTTAGCTATCGCATATGAGGCGAATGGACAGGTGAAAGAGGCAGTGACGCTGCTGGAGGAGGTGGTGCGGATCAAAAGGCAGACGCTAGTAGAGGATCATCCTGATCGACTGGCATCGCAGAACGAGTTGGCAGGAGTATATGAGGCGAATGGACAGGTGAAAGAGGCAGTAGCGCTACTGGAGGAGGTAGTACGGATTCGCGGGCAGACGCTGGCGGAGGATCATCCCTCTCGACTGGCATCACAGCACGCGTTAGCAGGAGCATATTGGGCGAATGGACAGGTGAAAGAGGCAGTGACGCTGCTGGAGGAGGTGGTACGGATTAAAGGGCAGACACTAGCAGAGGATCATCCTGATCGACTGGCATCGCAGCACAATCTCGCCATTATGTTATGCGATCTGGGCTAACATTCTGCAGGTTTGCAGTTGATGAGGCATGTCGTGGAGATTCGTCAACGAGTGCTCGAACCTAATCATTCCAGTCGTAAGGTGTCCGAGGGTTGGTTGCAAGACTTCGAAGACGAAAGTTCCGAATCTGGGCAAATGGCATGAATTGGACTTGGAATGATCCTTCTTCGCCGCTCATTGAGCCCGGGTTCAAGAGCCCCTTCTATTTGAATAGTATGTAAACGAATGATAAGCTAATCTATGACCATCTTCTAGTACAGCACATATTTGACTTTAGCTCTGACTTTAACTTGCCCCTAGGGTAAACTCCCCTACAGCAAGGAGGTGTGATAGAGTTAGGAGGCTGCAGCACCGCAGTTTTAGTATTAACAATGTAAGTAAAGCTATGTGCACCATTGATTTACATTGAGCTTTATTACCGACCTAGCCTTGACTTTAGAACTGTGTCACGAATCCTGTTATGTACCGGAATCCGTTATTATCATCAAGGAGACCATGGGTGCGTGAGTTCTCGGTCTTGTGACCTGCCATGTGAGGAGCCGTGGTGGCCGGGTTATCGGTCAGGCCAACAGCAATGTACCACACAGCTAGGAATGACCTGTCATCTCACCTAGCATCAATGATACAATATCTCGTTCTCGAACATCAAAGTGTGCAAGCACCCTCAACATCCTTCTCCTGTCCATTGTCGCTCACAGTGGGAGGCGGACGGATCGCTCTTTCGTTCATGTTCCACAATGTTACAGTACACCATTTAGACTACGATCGGGTTCTCACATTAATAAAGCGCTGCCAGTCATGCAGCCACCCGAGACGCGGTACGACCTACGCAAGGGAGTTTGAATTAATTGAGATCGACCAGTTCCTTTTGGACAAGGCGTTTGGTTCATAAATGCTGCAGTTTTGCAGCGATGGATTTCCTTCTTCACCCTCGACATGTTCCTGAATCCTAATGATGCAGTCAGATCATGAACTTCAGCCTTCCTACTTCGGTTTCGTCGAGACCCGTGACGACGCCGTGATACTGATCCAGGCTTACCACCAAGGCAGACTGCCCTTCGTCCAAAGACGGCCTACCTCGTCAGAGCGGCCATCTGTTGCGCAAAGTGGACACGTCTTCATTTACGAAGAGAAGGCATCGGGAATTCAGCGTTGGACTGATGGACGGCGTTGGAGCGCGAGTCGAGCCCTGGGTGGAGGCGTGCCAAGCTGCTCCCTTTATACGCGGATCTTTACCGCGGGTCCACTTTTATGCAGGCTAAAGTTTACGAGAGAGGTAGTGGAGCGCTATCTACGTGAACGACGAAGTGAGACTATCTCGGATGTATATAGGGCGCGAGAGAAGTCGTGCGGTTATCTGTAGGCGCCATTATTGCAGGAGAGGTCGGCAATATCACTCTCGCCGCAGCGCCGGTATAAAGGACTGTAAAAAGCTCACGTGTATTTTCTGCGTATTATACACCACCAGATTTAGTAATTTTATATCTATATCGGGTCTATGGACAATTCAGTATCTATGACATCGATTTTCTCCCCTCCCATGGGTGACCTTCGCCGATGTAGTGAATAGACAGGCATGTGACATAAAAGTAGGTCCGCACCCAGGGCATTTCATTACGCGGGGATGCACGTTACAAGAATAATGGAAGATCGCAATGGGAAAGTGCTGAACGCGTAAATAGGGCGTTATACTGTTTAGAAACTCTCGCTCCGTAAATATCCAACCATAGTTGTTTAATCAGAGGCCGATCCAGTATCGCGACGGCTAAATAGCATGACCTAGGCGTACTGGAACTGCAGAATCAAATTTCCCCCTTAAGGTCCAGTAATGAATCCATCGGTAAGGTTCATATCGCGTTAGTAGACGACAGTACTAGTATATTTTATATATATTACCGCAATGAGTGTCACGAACCGCCAAGCATAACTTACACGTGACAACCCCCTATTAATTGAGCACCGCATGCTCACCGCCTGAGGGAAGCTTCCTTCCCTCATGCTTTGAGTTTCAGTTAAGATATACTATCAAGGAATACCTATACCTACCTGTACCTATCGCTACCCCCTGCCTATCTCCATAGGCCGTTCCTGACATTTAGCTAGCTAGACAGCTACTAGATCGACCCGTGACCGGAATATTTCGTGATAGGCTGTTTGCCACCAATCGCGAACACCGCGATGTTTGATGATATAACAGCATATAAGCGCTAACATGCCTTAAGTAATCGAGCACTTAACTCGTTGTCCTTATGGGGATGCGGAACTGTAAGGGGAGTGGGATGATGGCGAAGCTGGACCTAGACTTAACCTAATTTAGAGAAAGGAACTTTTATAACCATAACGTCAACTAGAATTAGTGGGATAGGTTATGGGTACTGTAAGCTTAGCCGAGGCGATAAATTAGCAACTATAGGCGGGTGCCGGGAAGCCCTGGCCTAGATATGGGCGCCACTGCTCAGGCCGCACTCTACAGTGCTCAGTCACGTGCGAAAGTAACTCAGGTTGAAGCGGCGAGCCTCAGGGCCACGCTCAGGTCCAGAGATGGAAATGGAAAGTCCTCGTGTCGAGATTTCGACCTCGAAATGTCTGATCCAAAGTGCTGTGTTGAAGGAAACGTCGTTCTGGGTTGGATCTGTCAAGCTTCGTGCTGCGACGGAAGGAAAACCTTGACTGATTGACAAAAAGCACCTCCAGGGGTGCTGTAAGCGTGTGTAGGTGCCAAGGGGGCTTAAGGTCTTTGGTCCAACATCGTACATACCTATGTTGGCGGTAGAGAGACCCCTGTAGCGCCTGGGACAGGGGGGACAGCGTTTTGCATCGGAGCCACCAGAAAAGCAGCTCCTCTCATGCCCAAGCCAGAGCTTCCAGGCACTGGAAGGCCCTTGTCCACCTTTGTCTCGGTGCTGATTCCATTCGTTACCGTCTATCTGTAGTCCAGTCACGTGCACCACTCGAGGATCTGATGACTGCTGCGCATTGGCCACACCGCCGGATTCCTTTTCCGTTCCTCCATCCATTTGTCGCTCCTAGTCCGACGCTGGTCAGGAGACACTTTCTCCCTTGAAAGGTTGCCCTGTTGCCGTAGACTCGAGTCTTCATCAATTCTCACCACATCCTTTATCAACAGAGGCCAGATCCAGGCAGTGGCTGCTTTGGATTGAAAGCCTCAAATCTGGGATGTGGGCCTTAGCGCTGCGAATGGGCCACTTCTGGAAGCCTTTTCCGCTCAGCATTTCGCTGTGAGGGCACAGCTCATTCGTATTCTCTCCCCCACCCCTGGCTCTTACTGGTATATCTACCGCCCGAGACCCTCCAGCGTCGCGGACTCGCGGCCGGGAGTTTGGGGCCCCTTAGTTATCTTCAAGATTTTCCGGCTGATCATCAGTCAACACTGCCTCCCACCTTGCCAACAACTCTCCCATTGTATAGTCCTCGCTATCTCCCGCGTCTCTTTTGACCAGTGCCAGGTTCGGGTAGACGCTTCGAATTCGTTTGTGTGCCCCCGTGGTCCACACAGTCTTGTCGAAATCATCCAGGATCTCGACCAGCCTCGGAGGAAGCTGGACACCCATCGACTGCGCTGTCGGTCGCAACATCCGGAGCATACCGGCAAACACCAACCAGCGTCGAGCACCTACCATCAAGTACATCGTCAGATCAACAAGTGCTTCTTCGTTCTCTTCCGATTGTAACGACGGATCGCGCAGCGCTTTCAGCAGAATAAAATACGCGATCGCAGCCGCCTGGCAACTGCCTGCCATAACACGAACGAGGCCATATGTTGAGCGAAACTGTCGATAAAGTGGCAGCATGCGACGGATCAAGAGAAGGGAGGTGGTGCGAGCCGTTATAGCCGCAGTCGACTTCGACGGTGCGGTGAAAGATGCTGGAACAGGGGTTCGCCCTGGTGAACCGTCGCGCGCCGAAACCTCACTCAGGGTAAGAGAACACGCATAGTAAATTGCGCTGAAATAGTTAGCCGATCGATTGCACACACTCACGCTCCCCATCGCTGGGTAAGATCTTGCTCACTGTAGCTCAAACAATAGCCCAGGTGTGGCCGCGTGGGCTTGCAACGTCGCAGAGAGGGTATCGTGCCAGCTTCGCAACCTCTCCATCAGCAGCAAGGGTGTATTCCTGTCTCGCTGTTCAGTGAAGGTCACGCTTAATGCTACTTCATATGCTATCTCAGCCAAGTCACAATATGCGTCCACGACTGCCTCTCCATACAACAGTTCTATTCTCTCTCCACGGGGATATGGCTTCCACTCCACCGAATTGCGAAGGTCTTCTCGTTGAAAGGGCGCGGCACTGTCGGCGGCAGGAGCGCAGGGCTTTTGAGGAGGAAAATGGCAAAAATCCTGTCAAGTGAGCGGAACACGGTCAACAAACGGACTCGACAAGCGACTCACGTGTTGCAGGTAAACACCGACCACGAGACATTCAACATGGCTGTTCTCATCCTATCCACAGACTCGGCAGGGCAGTCACGTGGTATCTTGACTTGGTTACCGAGATCCATGTCTCGGTACATGTGGACAACCTGCGACATGGTCGACCAGCCAAGTTGATCTTTTCCGCGCATATTCTGGTACAGCATGAGAAGGTACAGGCCTTGCAAGTTGGTCATGGAAGATCGCACTTCCTCACGGTCCCATAAGCGCCTTGCTTCGTCATAGAAATGCTCCCCCCACGTGTCCAGATCGTCAGGGTCAGAGAAGGCCCCGGGTAAGTCAGAGTAGCTGCAAGAAAGGGCTAGCAGCGCATTCACGAGAAAAGGGGAGCAGAGAGGACTCATGGCGTCACCGGCTACCATGGCTTCAATCAAGGCCGGTTCATGAAGAGGGTGCATGAAGGTGTTCCACCAGGTGAAGTAGAGCGAGACTAGATGGGAGACGAGATAGTCATCGTCCGTGACTGTCGTCCAGGGCCTTGCCCTGAGTTGAAACAGGGGTTCGTCGGTCATCTGCTCGACGCTCATGGTCTTCCTTCGTGCTCTA